ATTTTGCCAAGGGTTTAATTTTAACCATGATTTTAATGAATTGCATCTTGGCTTTCACTCTGAACTGCTCTGGATCAGAGTGTGAAACTATAATAGTGTGTCAAGTTGTATGTAGGACAAGGGGAAACTGCCTCAGGCTGCACCAGGGGAGGGTCAGGTTGGACATCAGGAGGAATTTGTGCATGGAAAGGGCTGTCAGGCATTGGGATGTGCTGCCCAGGGAGGTGGTGGAGTCACCAGCCCTGGAGGTGTCCAAGGAACATGTGGATATGTCACTTGGGGCCATAGTGGAAGGTGTCCCTGCCCCTGGCACTGGATGGCCGCAAGTCCCATCCAGCCCAGACCATTCTGATTCCATGATTCTCTGCAAATGAAAGGTTAATTTCGTGTTTCCTTGGAGAACAAACTTGGGGCCATGTATTTCTGTCCATACCACCTCATATTTAACCACACACTCAATGTTCTCTCCTCAGGAACAAGCCAAGCAGTTAAGGAAGAGGAATTGGGAAGCTCTGAAGAACATACTGGATAACATGGCCAATGTCACCTACTGCACCACATGGTCAGAGGCTCAGCAGTACCTGATGGACAATCCAACCTTTGCAGAGGACGAGGAGCTGCAGAGTATGTACACAGTGTCTTTCCTTTGGGAGAGGCAGCAGGAAGGAACACCTGACATTTACCCTTGTCACTGTCTTCTCTTGCTAGACATGGATAAGGAGGATGCACTGATCTGCTTTGAGGAACACATCAGGGCCTTGGAGAAGGAGGAAGAGGAAGAAAAGCAGAAGAGTTTGCTGAGGGAGAGGAGGAGACAGCGGAAGAACAGAGAATCCTTTCAGGTCAGTGGCTTTGGGTCTGTGCTGGACTGGCATGTGAGGAGATATTTTGGGCAGGTGTGCCCATGTGGGCAAGAGGCCAATGGCACCTGGATTGTACCAGCACTGGTGTGAGGCACCGCCAGCCCTGGGGGCACTTCTGGGCCCTCTTGTTTAAAGCCTGGTGGGAGCACAGTTTCTTTTAGATTCAGACCCACTCAAGGTAAGGTCCTGCCTCGTGTGAAGTTAGATGTTCTATTAAAACTGGGAAAGAATAAAGAATTGCTCACTTGGAAAACATCTGTTCAAATAGTCTTTGTTGTCTAGACCATTGATGGATCCAGAGGAATCCCACAAATATTAATTAAAGGCTTGCTAAAGGCAGAGGAATGCAGATGCAGAAGTTAATTTATCTACCAGCAACAGCTCTGCCTGGCCCAAATTCAGGAGGAGTTTCTCCATGGAAAGGGCTGTCAGGCATTGGGATGTGCTGCCCAGGGAGGTGTTGGAATCACCAGCCCTGGAGGTGTCCAAGGAAGGACTGGACATGGCACTTGGTGATGGGTCACAGGTTGGACTTTATGGTCTTGGAGCTCTTTTCCAACATCGGTGGTCTGGCAGAAAGCTGCCAAGAAAGGAGGAGATCAGAGGGGAATAGGTGTGAATGGAAAGGAAATGGTCCTGGAACACTGTAAAAGGTGGGGAAGGCAGGGAGAGACAATGGACAAAATGATTTCTCAGTCCTAGCTGAGCAAAAATGGAATCCCTGGACTATCCATCCCAGCTGACAGCAAAGGAAAAGCATCCTGAGTGACTCCAGTTCCCATTTTACGTGTCTTGTAGCTCTTCCTAGATGAACTGCACGAGCATGGACAGCTACACTCCATGTCCTCCTGGATGGAGCTGTACCCAGCCATAAGCTCTGACATCAGGTTCACCAGCATGCTTGGCCAGCCTGGTAAGGACTGTGTCCTCCACAGCTCTGGGACTGGGGGCAGGACAGAGCAGGGGGATCTGTGTACCTGGTACCTCCTCAGGAGCAGCTCTTGGATTGGAGCTCCCTTTGACGTAGCTGGTTCTTTCCTCAGGCTCAACAGCACTCGACCTCTTCAAGTTCTATGTGGAAGACCTCAAAGCTCGTTACCATGATGAGAAGAAGATCATCAAAGACATCTTGAAGGTGAGGAGATCCTCCATGTGGGTTCTTGCAGTGCTAAATCTATCCATCAAGGGATCTCCTTGCTGCTGGGAGTTGGGATTCCTGGTTGAGTTAATGGCATGTTAGCCCTGGATGAGGCCTTGACTTCCCTTGTGCCATTTTCTTCCAGGATAAAGGATTTGTGGTGGAAGTGAACACTTCCTTTGAAGATTTTGTCACAGTCATCAGCTCCACCAAAAGAGCCACAACTTTAGATGCAGGAAACATCAAACTGGCCTTCAACAGTGTGAGTATTCCTAGATCCAGACAGCTTGGAGACTTGGGCTGGGAAATCTCTTGGCCAGACAGGAGTTAGGGTTCATTTTCCCTGTATTCTACAGTGTTTGAGGGAAATGCTGTGCCTTAGATTCCTTACCCTGACAGCAGCTGCCAAAATATGTTAACTCCAAGCAACATTTCAACTTGAGGAATTCCGTGGTGGGAATTAAGTGATGTTCCCTCATGCATCCATAGCTTTGCTCCTGATTTCTCCCTGTTCCTGGAGTTCTGCTTTGCACATTGAACTCTTATTTAGATGCTCAAAATCAACAATTAAATGCTTTGAAAACAAATCATTGATTAATTTCCCTCTACATCCAAGTGAGTCATGGACAGCTTCCCAGATCCCATTGAACTGAGTTATTAGCCTCTCCTTGGATGGCTCAAACAGCTCCTGGCGTTCCCCAGATCCCACTGAACTGAGTGATCAGCTTTGCTCTTGGAGGTGTCTCATCTCTCCTGTGGCTTTGTGCAGCTGCTGGAGAAGGCCGAGGCTCGGGAGAGGGAGAGGGAGAAGGAGGAGGCTCGGAAGATGAAGAGGAAGGAATCAGCCTTCAAGAGCATGTTGAAGCAGGCGACTCCCCCCATCGAGCTGGACGCGGTCTGGGAGGATGTGAGTCTGGGCATTTCCCCAGGGAGGAGCTCCCAGAGGGATCTCCCACCCTGGTGGGTGTCTGCAGCAAACCTGGGTGTGGATCAGCTCCTGTTTGCTCTGGGACTTGGGGCCCTGGAGGCTCTTCAGGTTCTGGTTTCAGGGAGGTTTGGATTTGATGTACAGAACTTCCTTCTGGTGATGTTTTTGAGTAGAATTTAAAGCCCCCAAACCCCAAAATGAGCCCAAAGCATCAACATCCCAAAATCATCATCCAAAACCTCCAGTCTGGTGTGGGTAAGAACTGGAGAACTTTTGTTCCCCAACTGTGGTGGATGGAAACTTGGGCTTTGTGGCTGAAGTGGCAGGAGAAGAGTGGGATTGGATGCTCCAGGTTTCCATGTGCTTCTGCCTCACTGGTCTGGTTGGAAGTTTGGCATTGTAACAGTGTCAGAGGTTTGGCACCTGCGGGAGCCAAATCTCCTTTTAGTGTCTTTTAGTGGGTTTTTTAGTATTTTCAAGTATAACTCGTAGCATTTTTAAGTACAATTTTTAGTATTTTCTAAGTACAATTTTTAGTAGTCTTAAGTCTTTTTCTTAGTGGTTTAAAGTATAATTGTTAGGATGGTTTTATCATTTTTAGGGGGGGGGTTTAGTGTATTTTTAGTAGGCTTTGATAGTATTTAGTATTTTGAAAGTAATTTAAAGTATATTTTTAGTGGGTTTAACTATATTTTTAGGTATTTTAGGGTGGGTTTTGGGTGTTGTTGAGGTGTTTTTAGGGGGTGTTTTTAGGGTGGGTTTGGGTGGGGTTTTGTGTGTTCTTGTGGTTTTAGTGTGTTTTTGAGGTGTTTTTCAGTGTCATTTTAATGATCTACATTCATATAATTCTCATGATTTTCATTGTCGCTTTTGATGGTTTTATTTGTTAGATTAGCTTTTCGTTACGGTTTTATTATTTTGACTCCTTTCACCATTGTTTTGTCCCTGTTCTCACTGCTCCCCCCTTGTCCCTCTGTTGGTGAGTGCTGTGCCTGACCCCAGTGTCTGGTTGCTGTTCTGGCAGATCAGGGACAGGTTTGTGAAGGAAGCAGCGTTTGAGGACATCACTCTGGAGTCCGAGAGGAAAAGGATATTTAAAGACTTCTTACATGTCCTAGAGGTAATTGAGTGGTTTGTTTCCTCATTGAAGAATCCACCAAAACCACTTCTATTGCCCTGAAATTGGGTGGGAAGGGAAGGGTTGGACAGAGCTCTGATTGCTCTTCCATGTCACAGGAAGTGATGCACAGGGGATGGAGGGACAGGACACAGGGAATGGTTCCCACTGCCAGAGGGCAGGGACAGATGGGAGATTGGGAAGGAATTCCTGGCTGTGAGGTGCTGAGGCACTGGCACAGGGTGCCCAGAGCAGCTGTGGCTGCTCCATCCCTGGGAGTGTTCCAGGCCAGGTTGGATGGGGCTGGAGCAGCCTGGGCTTGTGGGAGGTGTCCCTGCCCAGGGCAGGGGTGGAATGGATTCACCTGTAAGGTCCATCCCCCCCAGCCCACACTGTGGCTGTGCTGACACTTCCCCTCTTGCCCTCAGCACGAGTGTCAACATCACCACTCGAAGACCAAGAAGCACTCGAAGAAGTCCAAGAAGCACCACCGGAAGCGCTCGCGGTCGCGCTCGGTAAGGACTCCCAGGGCCTTCAGACCCACCTGGGGCTAGTCACGGTGCTAATTGCGGCTGTAGTGATTACTAATTGCTCACCCTGCTGATCTGACTCTGTGCAAAGGGCTCTGAGTCTGAGGATGACGACAGCCACTCGAAGAAGAAGCGTCAACGCTCCGAGTCCAGATCGGTGTCTGAACGTTCCTCCAGCGCAGAGTCTGGTAGGACCCTTCATTGAGTATGTCCAAATCAATCAGTTTTATTGCCTTGTCCTCAGCATTTTACTGATGTGGGTTTGCCTCTTCCTGTGGCTGCAGAGAGGAGTTACAAGAAGTCAAAAAAACACAAGAAGAAGAGCAAGAAGAGAAGACACAAGTCTGTAAGTGCAGTTCACTTCCAAGTTGGCTTAAGGACAGCCTGACAGCTGGTCCCAGGAATCCTTTTGCATCCAGCGCTTTGGAATGGGGTTGGTGGGATCGGGCTGGAGGGGAAGGTGTTCCCAACAGCATAACTACGACCAGACCACCTACAACGGCTCGGTTTGGGGGTTAACTGCAGCCGTGAGAGAGATGGGAAAGACTCTACGAGTAACTTGGTGTTTGCTGTTTGGCATGGCAAGTTCTGGTGTTCACTTCCATTATGGAGAGCTGGGAAGAATCCCAGCCATGCCTTGGGTCTGCCCGAGCCTCAGGGCTGTGCTAGCTCTGCTATCATCACACTGGAGCAGCAAAAGGACTTCAGAGAGCACAAAGCTTCACTCTGCATCAGCTGAGGCCAAAGAAAAGGGCTTTGTCCTAGGTAAAGAAAGAAATTTGGCTCTCTGAACTCCTCTTGGCTGCAAAACTCTTCAGACTGGTGTTTTCTGGGATTTCTGAGTCAGCTGTGGCTGGTCACAAGGAAGAAGGTGTTAGTTTCACCCACTGAGTGAGGTACAAGTGCCAGTCAGTCACACAAGGGACAAAACCAGACGTGGCCCCTAATCCCTGTCTGCCCGTCCAGGAGCACATGGTCCAGATCTCTTCCAGAGATCACGGAATGACTTGTGCACAGAGGTGGACTAAGGAGCATCTGCTGGGAACAGGAGAAGTTCTGTGCTGAACAAACCTCTCTCCTCCTCAACCTTGGTTTTGTTACTTCTGTGCTTAACTAGTAACTACTTGGAGCAGTTTTCAGTGTGATCTCTGTTGAGATACTCATTGAAAGGGGAAATATACCATGGATATTGGGAAGGAATTCCTCCCTGTGAGGTGCTGAGGCACTGGCACAGGTTGCCCAGAGCAGCTGTGGCTGCTCCATCCCTGGGAGTGTTCCAGGCCAGGCTGGATGGGGTTGGAGCAGCCTGGGCTGGTGGGAGGTGTCCCTGCCCAGGGCAGGGGTGGGATGGGATCATCTTTAACCCATTCCATGATTCTATAAACTGAACTCATTCTCTGAGGTGTGGATATTCTGTCAATTAATGTTCACTGTTTTCCCCTTCATTCCCCCAGGATTCACCGGAATCAGATCTGGAACGAGACAAAGACAAGAAAGACAGAGAGAGAGACAGTGAGAAGGACAGAGCCAGACAGAGATCCGAGTCCAAGCATAAATCTCCGACTAAGAAACGGCCTGGAAAGGATTCTGTAAGCTTCATTCCCTGTTTCCCTCACCCTTTGGGCTTTAGCAGCAGGCTGCTATGGGATAAAGCTCCATAGGTGTCCTCTGAGGTCACAGATTGGACTGTTGGATTTGACCTTGGAGGTGTTTTCCAACCTCAGTGATTCTGTGATTGAACGAATTCTTGTACTTCCAGTCTGGGAAGTGCTGTGGGAGGAACTCCTGATCCTGCCCTTACTGTGATGCTTCCCTGGTTTGGGAAAGGCTGTAGGATTTTGATGGATGACTGAAACAAATGTCCCTTGGTCCAGCAGCTTTGGGGGTTGCTCCCCTCACTGAGTGGTGGCAGTGATGTCCCTCTGGATTATATTCTGTGCATTCCATCTTCCACAAGGAGATGGAAGAGCAGCTGTCTGCTCTTTGCTTTATCCTCTTAAAATGAGCTGTTCAGGCCTCCAGTTGGGAAAATCCCAAACCCAGGAGCACCTTCCAAGGACTGAGCAGGGACTCACCCGTGTCCTCCTTGTGCCATCACCTCCTGCTCTGCCTGTGGTGTCCCTGAGTGTGCCCTGGAGCACCCACCTGGATCTGGGCCCTGCTGGGGACCATGGGGAGCACCCGTAACACCTCCAGGGGGTCCCACCAACATGGAATCCCTGGCCTGACCACTCTCCTCTCCACAGGGCAACTGGGACACCTCTGGCAGTGAGCTGAGCGAGGGAGAGCTGGAAAAGCAGAGGAGGACTCTGTTGGAACAACTGGATGAAGATCAATGAGAACGTTATTTATACCAGACGTGTCCTGGGAGCCCCAGGGGTGGTGGAGGCCGTGGGGGCCAGGACAGAGCTGTGGCTTCCCAATATCACATCAATCCACTCAAGTACTTATTGGCAGCAAATCTAGAGCAGTGAATGGAATTCTGAGGGCAGAAGCTGTGCCTGGCCTGGAGCTGGGGCTGGGAATGGTGGGAACGGCGCTGTGCTCCCCTGGGAAGGGATGTGGTGCTGGTAGGAGTGTCCCTGAGCCCAGGGAGGTGTTGGCACCTCGTGGTCCTTCCTGGGCAGGGAGCAGGGCTGGGCTGCTGGCAGAGGCAGGTTCTGCCCTTGGTTCCTTGAGGCTTCACAGCACGGATTGGGTTGGGTGTTCTGGGAAGGCAACAGGAATGATGAATCCATGTCCTGCTCTACTGCAACCCCCAGAGCAACATCTGGGACTGCTCCTTGGCTTCGGTTCCTTGGGGTTTCACTTCATGGATTGGGTTGGGTGTTCTGGGAAGGCAACAGGAATGATGAGTCCATGTCTTATGAGTCCATGTCCTGCTCTACTGTAACCCCCAGAGCAACATCTGGGTTTGCTCGTTGGCACTGGCCAAACCAAAGACTTGACTCACTCAAGTCCAAGTACTATGGCAGAGAAGGATTTCCAGTAAATTCCCAGAGCCCTGGGAACGTGGTGGTTGGGAATGTGGCTGGGATGTGGCCGCAGAGCCAGCAGAGGGAGGGAGTGTGCCGCAACCACTTCCCGTTCCCAAGCCCAGCCCAGCTCTGGCTGTTACTCCAGCGTTTCTCTTCCCATTTTCTCTTCAGCTCAAGAAACTTTAGGAATAAAATTCCCATTTTCAATCCATGTCCATGTGTTGCCTTAAGAAGCTGCTGCAGAATGTCGCTGCCCAGCCCCGTTCCCAGCCCAGCGAGGATGGTGCCCTTGGCCCCGAGGGAATTGGGAATTGCTCCCCTTGGAATATTTTTGTACATTTTTATCACTGATTAAACCTTGTCTCCTAGTGTGGCCTGCTGCTTGCTTGGGATGTTCCTTGGATCACTTGGCAGTTTTCCTTGGATGATTTGGAATTTTTATCTCCTGGGATAATTTGAGATTTTTCCACTGGGATGATGTGAAATTTTTTCGTGGGGTTTTTTTTGTGGGATGATTAAGGTTTTGGTTTTTTTCTGAGGTGATTTGAGATTTTTTTCCTTGGATGATTTGGGATTTTTCCTGGGATGATTAGGGACTTCTTGCTGGGTTGGATAATTTGGGATTTTTTTTTTTTTTTTTTTCTTGCTGGAATGATACGAAATTTTTTTCCTGTGGTGATTTGGGAGTTTTCCTTGGATGAGTTGGGATTTTTTTGCTGGGATAATATGGGATTTTTAACTGGAATGATTTGAGATTTTTTTCCTTGGCTGGTTTGGGAGGTTCCTGGGATGATTTAGGACTTCTTTTCAGTCTTGATACACCCACAGCAGCTCCAAAGGCTTCCACAAAGCTCCAGGGTGTTCACCTGCCAAACATCACCATTTGTGGGGGGGCAAGAGGGAAAAGTGCCCCCAAACCCCATCAAATACTGCAATTCATGGGGGAAAAGTGCACCAAAACCTGCCAAACATCACCATTTGTATGGGGGAAAAAAAGGGGAAAACTCAAAAAATCCATCAAATATCACCATTTGGGGGAGGAGGAAGTGCCCCAAAAATCTGTCCAATGGCACTATTAGTGAAGGAAAAGTGGCCAAGAAGCCATCAAATATCACAATTTGTGAGGGGAAAAGTGCCCCAAAACCTGCCAAACCACCATTTGGGGGGGGGAAATGGAAAAGTGTCCCCAAACCTGTCCAATGTCACTATGAATGAGGGAAAGTGGCCAAGAAAACCATCAAATATACAATTTCTAAGGGGAAAAGTGCCCCAAAACCTGCCAAATATCACCATTAGTGAGGGGGAAGAGGGGAAAGTGGCCCAAAACCCCAGCAAATAGCACAATTTGTGAGGGGAAAAGTGCCCCAAAACCTGCCAAAGAGCACCATTAGTGAGGGGAAAACAGAGGGAGAAGTGGCCCAAAGTCCACTACCACCATTAGGGAGAGAAAAGTGCCCCAAAACCCATCAAAGATCACAACTGCTGAGGGGGAAAGTGCCCCAACCCTGTGCAGTGTCACGGGCAGGGGGGAAGTGCCCACAAACGCCTCTGGCTCTCAGTGTAGTAGTGTAAATAGTTTATTTGCTGTTTATGGCAGAACAGACAAGGAAAGACCCGTGAGGTGCTGCCCAAAGCCCTCGAGCCTTGCTCAGCAGCAGAGCCAGCCCTGGGACACGAGGAGAACATGCCACCTTGTGTGGCCAGAGCACCCAGAGCACCCAGAGCACCCAGAGCACCCAGAGCACCCAGAGCACCCAGAGCACCCAGAGCACCCAGAGCACCCAGAGCACCCAGAGCACCCAGAGCACCCAGAGCACCCAGAGCACCCAGAGCACCCAGAGCACCCAGAGCACCCAGAGCACCCAGAGCACCCAGAGCACCCAGAGCACCCAGAGCACCCAGAGCACCCAGAGCACCCAGAGCACCCAGAGCACCCAGAGCACCCAGAGCACCCAGAGCACCCAGAGCACCCAGAGCCGCGTGCCCTGAGGACAGAGCTGCTGCTCAGGACAACAATTCCTGCCCTTGGGTGCTCCTGGCTCCGCCGCAGCCCTCGTGGCTCTCCGAGGCTGTGGCATGTTCTCCTCAGTGCTGGAAAAGGCAAAGACTTGGCAGTTTTTCAAGAAAAACTCGCTGGCAATAAGTCAATGTGATAACTCTGAGCCCCAAACTGTCCTTTTAGTTAAATAGAAACCCCCCCAAAACTATAAGTTAAAATAACATTCAGATTGTAGAGCACAAAGGCCTTGATGCATTTTTATTTCTCTTTTTTTTTCCTGTTTGTTGCTTTTAAACAATATTTACAATATTACCCAGAGGTTAACGTGGGGATAAAAGTGTAAAAACCATAAAAAAAAAAAAACAAACCTGCACTGATTTCTGTAGCAAAATATCTGTACATTTAAAAACAGATTATCATATAACTACACATTATCCAAGGAGGAGGGAAAAAAACCAACCAGGGACCTTCACCAGTGGTTCACGACGGGAAAGGGAGAGGAAACTCAGTGGTTAAATACTATACAAGACATTGTACAAGGAGCCCAGGCAAGGAAGCTGGAAGCAAAAAGGAGCTTGGAAAAGCTCCTCAATCCAGGGGACAACCTGCTCCTCACTCCAGCTGTGCCCAGCTGAGCAGCTCAGCGACGCTCCCAGCACGGAGAGGGATCCATCCTGCTGCTCCAGGGCACTGAAGGGCCTCTCCCTTCCCTTCTGAGGCTTGGAAAAGGCCATTGGGAACCTGAAACCCATCAGGAATTTCAGCTGGGGTTCCCTTCTCTGCCCAGTGGGTCTCAGCAGGGAATGGGAGTGGGATTGTCCCTGGAGCTGGAGCTGGCTGAGGGAGCTCCTCAGAGCCTAACACTGATTACTGAGGTGTTAATAGCTTAGTGCTAATTAATAAATAGCTGTTACTCCAACGCTGCCTCAAGCACAGGCCGTGCCTTGGGTCGCCCTTGACCCCCACAACCTCAGGGTGACCTGTTCTGGGGTCCTGTCCCTGTGCTCAGGGTCCCACAGCTCATGCCTGGGGGGTGGCAAAGGTCCAAGTTGCTGCTTAGGGTTGTTATTTCCACGTCATCTCTAGAAAGCCCTTAAATCTCTTCTTTTTCATGCCCAAACAGCCACAAAGTGCAGCTGAAACAAGGCCCAGCCCTCGGTGCCAGCACAGGAATGCATTTAGAAGCTGAGCACATCCCAGTCTTCCCATTCCAACCAGTCAGGATGCAGCTCACGCCCACAGGAGCCCAGTCACTAAACCTGGAGATCACCAAACCCAACTAAACACCCCCAAAACAACAACATACTTTACATTTTGGTTAAAAAAAAAAAACCACTGACAAATGTATTGGTGGCAAAAAAGAGATACCCAATCAAATCAAGTCCTATTGCTTTGATCAATTTGAGCAGGTACTTCCAGTTCAGGCACTTGGTAGTGGGGAACCCGTTGAGTAGAGACCATTGAGTGGAGACGCATCCAAGGTCTTTGAGCCCTTTGAAGGTGTATTTGGCTGTTCCTCAGGCTGGTGGGAGTGGCTGGACACAAAGTCCACCTGGCCAAGGCCTTCTCCAAGCCCCCCCAGTCCCTCCCCAGGCCTCCAGCTCACATGGTTATTTCGGCCCCGTTGGCTGAGCGCAGGTTCTGGTCGTCGAAGCGGCGCCGGACGCTTCTCCTCAGCGCGTCGGCACGGCGGTACGGCTGGTTTCGAAGATCTGGGGAGAGGGAAGGGCTGTTGGTGAGCACATCCAGCCCAGGCACACACACGCACACGCACAGCCAGACAAGGAAAAGGTCCTGCTGGAAGCCAATCAAAGCAGCTTGTGTAGGACAGGAGAAGGGATTTCACCCCGGCCAGAGCAGAAGGAGCGAGGAGGACGTGCTCTCTACTAGGCACCCAAGCAGCAGGTAATACTGGTGAAGTGCTGGTGGGGTTGGGATGGATGGATGGATGGATGGATGGATGGATGGATGGATGGGTCCTCACCCTGCTGGAGGTCATCAACATCAGGAAGGCAACGTCAACTGAAATCAGCTGGGTTGGGTGTGCCTGGTCCTTCATGCACCCACTCAAACCCTGGTGGGAACTGAAGGATGTTCCTACCGTGGAGGTGTGTGACCCAAGGTCCTGTGGGGCAACTGTTTAGCCACACCAGGATGGATCTGTGAGCCCTACATCCCTATTTATCATGGAATCATTCAGGTTGGAAAAGACCTTCAAGATCATGAAGTCCAACCAAACCTAAAAGCAGCAGCCGAAGGACATTTGTACACTGGGGTGGAGCTCACTGGAATGTGTAACTCAGGGTCCTGTGGGGCAGGTGTTCAGCCACACCAGGATGGATCTATGATCTCTAAAACCCTGTTTATCAGAGAATCATTCAGGTTGGCAAAGATCTCTAAAATCAGTGAGTCCAACCAAGCCTAAGAGGTCCCTCCAGCTGCCATCCTGCCCCATGGCACCACCTTGTCCAGCTGCAGAGACATCTCATCAGCCACAGACAATGAAGGAGACAACTTCCCTCTTCCTCCTCCCCCTCGTCCCAGCCCAGCCTGGCCCTGCTGCTCAGAGGGAGCTCAGGAGGGAACGCTGAGTATGGGATGGATGGAAGAGGGAGAAAGGTGCTGGATGTGTGGATGAAGCCCATCACGTGCTGGTACATGTCACATGTGCTGCTACAGGTGTGCCACGTGCTGCTACCTGTGCAACCACAACATCACAAGCACATTCCTCCCCTGACGGCTCCTCCAGCTCACACGCTTCTCTCCTGGCAAACAAACTGGTGTTGGACTGGGCAAACCCTCCTTCAAGTCTCCTGGATGACTTGTGTTCAGGTCGATACACAACTCCTCAGCTCTTCCATTGCCACCCTTGGAGCTGCTGCTTGTCCATGGCCACAGCAGGACCAGCAGAACATCACTGGGGCTACAACCACCTGGGGACAAAAGACTCTTTTGGGCTGAACTTGAGGAGAGACGGCCAAAATAGAGTGTGCAGGGAATCACCAGCTAAGGCCTGTGGGTCCCTGGCACCGCTGAGGGTGCAAATCAAGGGGCAGGGTCTCCACTGGCCTTGGGGGTCTCACCAGTATTAGCTCAGCCACATCTACCACCAGCTGCCTGCAGTACAGAGAGAGGAGGAAGCTAAGTAAAAAGTGATGCTTGCCAGCTCTGGGTATCCTCCACCACCGATGTGCTAGAAGAAATCCTTACCCTCGAGTGAACATTGGGAAATTTAGTGATATTATTCTTCTTTAGGGCTAAACAGAAACAAAAACAACAAACAAACAAACAAAAAAAAACAAAAACAAAACACAAAATGATGGTTAAGTCAAAAAAAATGGGATGGAATAACGAAGAGCAAGTCAAGGCAGTGTTCAAACCTCCCAGGCAGGTTAACCACAGAGCACAGAGGGGGAGGCCACGGCCAGAGGGGTTAGACGTGGGGAGGAAGGACAAGGACCCTCTCGCCTCTCCTACCCCAGTTCCAAGCTGCTTTGAAGATTGGCTCCAGGAAGAGAAGACAGCACTGAACTCCAGAGAGCAAAGACCCATCGAGCTGGTTAGGGCTGGCAGTTTATTAGAAGCACTTGTCAAAGTACAGAGGGGAAACACTGTTGTCTGCTCAGGGGGCTGAGTCCTTAACAGCACACAACAGTGTCGGCCACGCTGGGTTAGAGACACCTTACACTCCACACCACGATGGGAGATGCTCAGTTCCATGTCAACCTTCTCGTCGGCACCGTACCCAAGTGTTTCCTCACTCCCTCCCCTCACCATGCCCCAACCCCCAGCTCTGCCCAGAGCCCACCTGAGCTGCCTCCTGCTCAGGGAGCCCTGAAAGCTGGCATGGAACTGAGAGAAGTGAGAGATGGATGTGACCAACCCAGGAGAGACCTGACGCTGTTGGTTTCACCCCGTGGCTCACATGCAGCCAACATGCAGGTGCTGGTTAGACAGGCTAAACCAAACCATGTGGGTTATTCCAGACAACCCTCCCAAGACAGAACCAACCCCACGGACACCCCCTAGTCCATGCAGCTGAGCTATGACATGTACAGCCTGGCACAAAGAGGTGTGTAGGCCACAGAGGTGACATAGAAAAGCCAAGTGAACTGTCACTTCTGGACCGCATTGGGTCTCCTCAGGCTTCGAAACCTGCCCCAGTGACTCCCACCACTTGCTGTTCTATGGCACTGGAACACAAGGATGGCCAGAAGTCGATGGGATGGACTAAGTTACTGAGACATGAGGACATGCAACGGAGGCGACACCGACACGACGTCAGGTGGACGCTGAACACCACGACACGACAGTCACATGGTCCTGGCTGAGACCCAGCACAGAAACAGAGGAGAAGTGGCAAAAAATAAATATATCTACAGCAACCTTCCTGGTTTCTAAGAGCATCAGATGTGAGAGAGGAAGAGTTTAGTAATGGAACTCCTCAGTGAGAAGAGGTTCGCAGAAGAACCGAGAGCTGCGCTTGGCGCTCCGGGCGGTAAAGGGCACAGTCTTCAGCACTGCATGGGAACAACAACAGCCAAACACACAAACCAACGTCAGAAGCAGCTTGTAAGGCATTAGTAAAGGGTTAGTGCTTGGTTAGGGACACCCAGGGACACTGGGACGTTCCAAGCAGCTCCTCAACACCTCACAGGGCTTTGGGCAAGGAGTTGAAAGGGTTGAGGGAGTATTTCATTGACTCACAGGATGGTTTGGGTTGGAAGGACCTTAAAGATCATCCACTGCCCTGGGCAGGGACACCTCCCACCAGCCCAGGCTGCTCCAAGCCCCATCCAGCCTGGCCTGGAACACTCCCGGGGATGGGAGGTGCATGATTCATTTGGAAGCCTCCAGGGACCTCAGTCCTACCTGACATTCTGTGCCTGAGCTTGAGACCCTCAGAGCCACCCCCAAAATGGGAATCTCCAGGCCCAAGGCTGCAGAGAATGTTTAGTTTGAGCCTGGTACCCTCTCCCCTGGATGGCCTTTTCCATGGGGATAGGCATCTGCCACACAGTGCTCCTCCATCAGAGCAGGAGAACCACTCTGCCTGTTCAACAAGCCTCCAGGAGAGCCTCTTCCCCACTAAAAAAGCTTCCAGGAGTCTGGAGGAGCTGCAGAAGCAGTGACAGATCAGATCCTGCAGCCACTCTCCCTTTAAATGCAGGATATTATCAGAGGAGCTATTCAACAAGGTTAAGAAGAGTTAGGAAAGCTCCACACACTTCATCCCTATCATCTAGCTGGGCAGCAATTCCTTGGCTTTCCTTAGCGAGTGATAAGACAGCTCTTCTGCAGGAAAACTCCTGTGAAAACCTTCCAGGAGCAGCAGGCAAAGACCTTTTATGGAGCTTCTGCGCAAGGAAACACATGACTGTAGAGTTACTGAAGTGTTAAACCATGTTCCTTCCACCTCACAGGTGAAGAACATGCAGCAAACCCCAAGTCCTGCAACCAGAGCTGAAAAATTCTTTGATTCCTGGACAAAAAGCAGGTTAGAAGGTAAATATCTACCAAGACATGACTGTGCTTGGCTGGGTCCCATCCCTCCAGCCCAGGCTCTGCCCAGGGAAACCAGGAGCAGTTTGGGGTCATCAGTCATTGAGGCTGCATTGATTTGCTGCCACTGTGCAACCACTGTTAGTTCACATGAAGAGAACTGGAGGCTCTTCATCATGCTCTTAATCATGTTCTCAACCTTTGTCTTCCATTTGTGGGGAGAAAAAAGGGGTCTGGCAAACATCTCCATGGCATGCACAGCCCCTCTGGAGGCTCCAGAGCCCAGAGAACATCCCCACAATCTGGAAGAGCAGGACTAAGTCCCCAGGCAGAAGATTCTAGCTGTGCTTCACAACATCTCACCAGCCAACACCCTCCGCTCTGCTCCAGGTTCAGGAAGGACCTGAAGCACTTGGAGCAGCTACTCAGCAGATCCACAGAGCTCTCCTGAGTGGGGTCCCTGTGGGATGACACACACAGGGGCTGTGGTTACCTGTGATGATGTCCTCAATAGCTCCATCCTTGCCCTCGTACACGTGTCGGTTGTCCTTGACCTGTCGCCGCCGCAGCTCCGCGATCAGCTCCTGCTGCTGCCGCTTGGTTTTGTGGGAAGGAGACTGGAAGCAGAGGCAGGATTGGTGAGGACTGACCCTCCTGCTCCCTCCTGACCCTGACACACCATTTCATCCCACCAGCACACAGGAACTGACAGTTTTCCACCCGGTTTTCCACCCCATGTGCCATAGCTGATGTCCCATGGAGAGGCCAGAGGAGGACAGAGTTTAGCTCATGGCAGTGTGGACGACACAACTTTCCATCCACGTAGCCTTCCTTCATTTTTCAGACTTCCAAGGCACTACACACAACTCTTCCAGCTGATTCCAGTTCTCTCCAGATAAGGAGAAAACTTCCAGAGACTACTTCCAGGCCACTGCAAGCTGGACAACTAAACTCCTGCGCCAGAGCTGAGGAGTCTGAGCCGTCAGGAAGGTGATCCCACCTGAAAGGTCTATCTGTGCCATACCTTTTGGTCCTGCTGCTCCATCAGTGCTTCTTGCTCCATCAGTTTTTCCATTAAGGCCTGTTCCTGCTTTTTTCTCAACTCATTCTCTTCTTCTGCTTGCTGATGGTGACAGAAACATGGGTTAGAGCTTCCAGGGGACACAAGGCCCTAAGTACTCCAGGGAGCAGAGGTGGCACGTGCCATCATGGGAATTTCCAGGGAAGGGAGAGGGAAGGGTATGGGGATGAGAGGAAGGGAGAGGAGATGAAGAGAGGAGGTGAAGAGAGGAGAAAGAAGGAGCAGGTGGAGGAGAAAGAAGAGGAGAAAGAGAAGGAAAAGGAGGAAGAGGAGAAGAGAGAGGAGGAGGAGAAGGAGAAGAGAGAGGAGGAGGAGAAGAAGAAGGTGGAGGAGAAGGAGGAGGAGGAAAAAGGAGGAGGAAAAAGGAGGAGGAAAAAGGAGGAGGAAAAAGGAGGAGGAAAAAGGAGGAGGAAAAAGGAGGAGGAAAAAGGAGGAGGAAAAAGGAGGAGGAAAAAGGAGGAGGAAAAAGAGGGAGAAAGAGGAAAAAGAGGAGGAAAAAGAGGAGGAGGAGGAGTAGAAGAGGAGGAAGAGGAGGAAGAGGAGAAAGAGGAGAGGAGGAAGAGAAGGAGAAGAAGGAGAAGGAGAGAAGGAGAGGAGAGGAAGGAGAGAAGGAGAAGGAGGGGAAAAGGAGGAGGAGGAGAAAGAGGAGAAGAAGAGGAGTAGAAAAAGAACAGGAGGAGGTGGAGAAGGCTGAGAGGGAGCAGGATGTTTACCTTGTAGGCCTTCACAAACCGGACAAACACAGGGAAAAAGACTGAGGGAGGTGTTGTCTTGGGATTCTCCCCAAAGTACTTCACAGCATCATCAAAGGCATCCTGCAAGAAGCACAGCCTTACTGGCCTGCACAGCCCCACTACCCCAGCCCCTCTGCTCACACCCTGCAGTGAGGACACACCTGGGCTATCCTAGCATCATCCTGCAGCTTCTTCAGCTTGCCCTCGTTGTTCTGGATGAAGTCCTTGAGCATGGTGTTGTGGTCGTGCATGGTGTACTCGCGCTTCGTCAGGTCCAGGCCCCTCTGCAGCTCCTTCACGTCCAGCAGGACGTTCTCCAGGGACACTGGGGGGGAAACACCAGAGCTGCACAGCTCCTGCTGGGCCAGGCCCTGGTCCCACAGCTGGACCAGGCCGAGCCCAGAGAAGTGGTGTGTGACAGCTGGAGAGGGAAGCACCACCGTGGGAGGTGAGGGAGGATGGAGGAGGGTGAAGGAGAGTGAGAAAGGTGAAGGAGGATGCAGGGTGAGGGGGTGAAGGGGGATGAGGAAGATGGAGGAGGATGCAGGGTGAGGAAAGTGACAGAGAATAGAGGGTGAAGGAAGATAAGGAAGATGAAGGAGGGTGAAGAGGATGAGGAGGGTGGAGGAGGCTGCAGGGTGATGGGTGACATGTACCTGCAGCAGCCTTCTCCACATAGTGCAGCTCGTTGTAGAAGAGGGACACGTGCTGGTACTTCTCCTTGACCACGTTGGAGATGTAGTGCAGCAGGGTTTGCTTCCTGTCCGTTGACTTCGTCTCCAGGAGCTGTGCAGAGGCAAAGAGATGCTCTGTGGGGTCACAGCAGGATCCAAGTAAAGGGGCTCAGTGATGCTTCCCCATCATGTGTTTCCACGCTGGGAAGCACCAACCAAGTCCCCCAGGAGACACTTCCCCTGTGCACCACTGCCCGTGGGTCACCACAGCTCCTAGAGTGCTCCAGGCTGGGGACAGAGGAGATGGAAACTGCCAGGAAAACAACCTGGGAGTGCTGAATAACCACGGCTGAACATGAGCCCAGGTGTGCCCAGGTGGCCAAGAAGGACAATGGCACTGCTGAGGCACCTGGGGACACTTCTGGGCTCTCACAAGAAGGACACTGAACACTGCCCGTGGGTCACCACAGCTCCTAGAGTGCTCCAGGCTGGGGACAGAGGAGATGGAAACTGCCAGGAAAACAACCTGGGAGTGCTGAATAACCACGGCTGAACATGAGCCCAGGTGTGCCCAGGTGGCCAAGAAGGACAATGGCACTGCTGAGGCACCTGGGGACACTTCTGGGCTCTCACAAGAAGGACACTGAAGGGCTGGAGCAGGGAAGGG